TAGATATTAAACAGCATTGGGGAGATAATCGAGCCCTGCAGAAGCCCAGAATTGAAACTCCACAGGGCTGAAGCACTCTCCCCAAGCTGTACTCTCTGAGGCAGTCCTTCAAGAAGGATTGGAGCCAGGCAAGCGCCAGGCCACCGATTCCCAACTTGGAGAGCTTCCCCAGAAGGATACCATGGTCAACGGTATCGAAGGTGGCTGAGATATCGAGGAGGACCAACAGAGACGTTTTACCCCTGTCAGCCTCCCTCAACAGGTCATCCAACAGTATCTTATCTGTTCATCAGTATCTTTAGTATCTTATCTGCATTTTAAAATGTAGGTTTATGGTGATGTGGTTTTTGAAATACAAGGAACATCAATAATTTCACAGCAATCAAAGCACTTGTTTTGTTGCTTTTCTTGTTTATGTTTGTAGTTGCAAATAAGTTTCGTATTTCTGACCTGGATCTGTGTGTTCCCTAAACTAGGAAGCATGTCATATACACTGCTTGCTCAACATGTTCACCATCTGCTGACCTGGATCCTACAAATGCCAGGAAGCCAGTGCCTAGTACACGTTGAATCTGGCTATCCTATAACTAACAGCCCGTGTAACTATCCTATAGGATAGCCAGATTCAACAGCTTTACCAGTTCTTGGATGGGCTTTGGGTTGTGCTGCATCAGGTGTGTCATGCATTTTCTAGGGCTGCAGTAGGACCATTGATTCAACCTCAAATCATCAAACTATATGGGACCAGTCTGTCCCCAAAGTGATTTCCTCCTGATATACTGGACTATATCTCCCACTATCCCCAATCAGCATGTTTTGGGATGCTGGAAGTTGACATCCAGTACATTTTGGGTGGAATAAATTAGAGAAAGATGACCGAAGCTATAGAAACAAAAGTTCACAGTTTTTACAAGAGCACTGAGCACAGATTCTCTCTAATGTTGTTTTTATTATTGATGCTTTACAGTATGTAGATAAATCTTTTTCACATGCTTTCAAATCATAAATCTCTAAAGAAATTATATCTGAAGAAATGGGTTGCTGTCTACAAAGGTGGATGCTAAATTAAAGTTGACAGTCTTTAATGTGCTACAAGAGTTTGCTTCTTTAAGACTATTTATGGCTACCTCCTAGAAAATTTACATAGTAATTTTTAAAGCTACATGCCTTATTTATGACAAAATCCAAAACTTTTTAAATATAAGCTGATAGCTTTATGATGAAATTAATTCTTCTTATGTAGCTGATTTAGACTTACAGTGGTGCCTCGCTTAACGATTGCTTCGTTTAACGAAAAATTTGCTTAACAATGGCTTTTTCGGAGCAATCTTGCGCTCCATTTAACGATTTTCCCTATGGGCAATTTTCACTTAGTGATTTTGGGACCATGTTTCGCTTAACGTTTTTGGTTTTAGGTCCCCCGTTTTGCTTAACTTTTTTTTTACAGTCCTGTTTTTTGCTATTTTTAAAATATTCTAAAATGTTTAAAATGTTTAAAATGCTTGGAATCATTAGTGCACCTAATAACACCTTTGTTAAATTAATTTGGCTTTGTTCTGAGTCATTTTATTAATTTGGCTTTGTTCTGAGTCTTTTTACATTTTTTGTGAATTTTTTTTTCCACCTTTGAAATGCATTGAATAGGTTTCAATGCATTTCAATTGGGGAACTGCGTTTCGCTTAAAGATGTTTCCTATGGCCATTTTCGCTTAAGGACGGCAATCCGTTCCTATTGGAACAGATTATCCGGTTTTCAATGCATCTCTATGGGAAAACGCGGTTCGCTTAACGATGTTTTCCCATAGCGATTTTTTTGAACCAATTAAAATCGTTAAGCGAGGCACCACTGTATTTCTTTACAAAGGATTGAATATCACACACTCCCTTTTGGGACACAATTTGCCTTTTTGTGGATTTTAAACATATTCTTTTATGGTGTAGAAGGAGGCGTGACCCAGAAAAGCAGGTCAAAATGGTCCTTAGAACCTAAAATTTTGCCCACTGCTGCCTGGATTCACATATTTCTTCCACTGACACATTTTCTGCCTCCTCTCATCCTGGCCTCAACAACTTATATATTGTTGTATGTGTGCACTGACAGTAATTATGCTTAATGCTAACTCAGTTTTCCATCATAATAACCAAGATCTGAGCTGAGTTGCAAACCATGGTTACGTGGAAATTCTGGTTTCCATTAGTCATAGATAGTGCAGACACTGTAAGTGGATATAAATAAAATAAAATAAAATAGATAGTGCAGACACTGTAAGTATATCTGGAAATAGTAAATCAAGTTTGCTACAACTCACATTAAAGTGCAACTGAGTTTGACATTATCTGAAGTTCAGCATTGTGACTTTTCTAAGCAGATTTTTTGCATGCTTCCTTCCGCTGGCCTTATGAACATGCAGGGTTTTGCCTGAAAAATGAACCCTCATCAGTCACATTAATGGCTGGAGCAATTCCAAAATCAAGAGATTTGTTTTTTTCGCTGGTCATATGAAAGTCTTCAAAGGTTTGTCCTAGCAGATCTTTCTTGCATCACAAGTCATGTTTGGAATGTCAGCAATAATAGCAATAAGGATGGTGGAGTAATATTTTCACTTTCAGAGAAAGGGTTGAGAAATAACCAACATTGAAGTCATGCTGGTCTTTACTCTGTTTTTGGTTCAGGTCTTCTACAGAAAGAGAAACTGGCCATTGAAGCACTGCAGATTTGTTGTCTTCTTCTACCCCCGGCAAATCGTCGAAAGCTACAACTACTGATGACTATGATGGCCAGGATCAGCTCAAATAGGGATCTGCCACCTCTCTCTGATACGGCTGGGACAAGAACACTAGTATGTCTGCCAGGAATGGAAATACTTTGTGAAATAATTTTGGAGTGGCTTAGGGGAAGGTTGTCGTTAGTTGCCAAAAGAGATCCATTTCATAAATGAGCAACATTACAATTCATTTATTTATTAAATTTCTACACCGCCCATCTAGTGACAAGCCACTACTCTGTACGTTTTCCAACATAAAACAGAAACATAAAAATAAAAACAACTCTCCCCTCCCAAAATTCCATAATAATATAAAAAATCAACTTCACAAAGAATCCAAGATGGTGGCGTTGGTGAACCCCAAAATGCAGTCAATATATAACATTAAATAAGGGGTCAGTACCCTGAAATGCCTCTCTCAAAAGCAATGTTTTTATATGCTTTCTAAATGAAGAGGAAAGAGGCCTGATGCATTGCATTCACTGAGAAGGCCCAGTCCTAGTCATGGACTTCCTAGCCTCCCTTGGGGTGGCCATCGGCAGCATCAGAGCCTGGGAGATGTGAGTGATACAGGTTGTTGGCCTCGAGGAGATGTGCTCCGATAGGTAGCAAGGTCCTGAATGATTCAGGGCTTTGTATGTCATCACTTAACTGCTTGAACTTAGCACAGAGACATAGAGGCAACCAATGCAGATGAGCCAGGACTAGGGAGATATGGTCGTAAAAGATGATGTGACTTGAAAAACTGTTAATCTCACTCTGCTTGCTCCATTGTAACTTAAATCCTCAGATACCAATCTGGACATTAACACTGCATCTTTTAAATTGTGAGATAAAACAAGTGAGAGTTGCAAATCATAGTTCCTCCCTCCCATTTCCCACCACAGACTCTTTTCTCCATTGTCTGCCACATTGCTTTCTTAGAGTTCTGTTTGCTGCAGAGGACACAGAAGAAGTGTACCATAGGATTTGGAGCCAGGGTGGTGAAATCAATGGGAGCAGATGATGAAACCCTTGTGCCAATATTTGTATGTAGGTTGCAACCTTCCAATTATGCCAGAATTGTTTCAGCTGGATATGGGAGCTGTTGTTGACATCTAGTTTGCATCAGCAACAGTGTCATACAATATTGACTGCCTGATTTATGGGAGTATGCTGGAAGCCTTTTCTGGACAAAAGGTTTGCAGCTTCTCCAGACACTCAACTTATAAATATTCCAATTTCATGAATGTATGGAGTTGGAAGGGATGTTAGGTCTCATCAAGCTAAAACTTGGGAAAGATCCTTTTTGGAACACAACTCTCAGAATGCTCAAGTATCCATGTCTGGGACGTCCAAGGAGCTATCGTCCAAAAGAAAGTAACTTTTTCGAAGTGGCCCAGGGCAACCTCTTTTGCCTACAGACAACAAGAACAACAAGAAAACCCTGCAAAAAAATTGGAGAATTATTCTTCTGGGATGGAATTCTTCATTTAATGCCTATCCCCCCCCTCTTGCCCTCCCAGAAACCTCAAAATGGGTCTTGGAAGAAAGTAGAAGATGGGCCACATGTGACTCCCTGAATCTAGAACTACCCACTTTTGAATTAGCCCAGCCTCTTGCTAAGTGCATGATCTGCAGCTACAGCACTACAAGTAGTTAAGGATAAGAAAATATGTCAATCTCCCTTTCTCTTGCATTTGAATTTTTTAAAACTCTTACATTCTTTATGTCCTGAAAATGCAGAAATTTTAAATGTTGGTGGACTTAAAAAATTTGACTGAAATACAGTTCTCCAGTTGCAATCAGGTACATGCAATAGATGACAGCCATTCTTGTCACAGACAGGAGTGTGTTATACCTGGATACCATAGGGTGGTTATCTCCCTTTCTCTTGCATTTGAATTTTTTAAAACTCTTACATTCTTTATGTCCTGAAAATGCAGAAATTTTAAATGTTGGTGGACTTAAAAAATTTGACTGAAATACAGTTCTCCAGTTGCAATCAGGTACATGCAATAGATGACAGCCATTCTTGTCACAGACAGGAGTGTGTTATACCTGGATACCATAGGGTGGTTAAAGATAATACCGTATTTTTTGCTCCATAAGACGCACCTCTCCATAAGACACAACAAATTTTTAGGAGAAGAAAACAGGAAAAAATTAATCTGTTTTCTTCTCCTAAAAATTTAGTGAGCCTTATGGAGAGGTCCGTCTAATGGAACACACCCTAGCCCCCTCTGGCCCTGTGGGGGGAGCCTCCAAAGGGTCCTAGGGTGTG